AATTTTCCAAGGTAAGTTTCTGCATAGTGATTCACTTTGACTTAATGTGCTCCACATGCCAAAAATTCAAGGTTCATAAACCTAAAATATCTTCAGGGACTTGACAGGTAAAGCTATAGAATGTCATAAGGTTTCTGAAGCTGAAGAAGATTCTACCTAAATTTTAGTATTCTGGCCAACCACAATGTCTTTGCAAGTTGAACTTGGCCCAGTCACTGTTTTGTCACCTCTAGCCAGTCTTCGTCTTAATTTACTGAAGATTTGTAAATTTTTATTAATAAGATTTTCAATGAAAACAGTGTTCTGTGATTCATAAATGAAACGTGTTCTGTGATTCCACTGATAGTGCCCCTAGACATGGTGTCTCTAGTACTAACTGCAATGTGTGTAGCAAATATTTGGCACTCAAAAATCACATATTTTTTCCTCTTAATTTAGGAGACTGAAATGGGTAACTTTTTTGACCAAGAACCTGTTGAACTTTTATTTTTTTATTGTACTTTTATTTTTTTTTTTTGTGACCGGTAAGGGGATCACAACCCTTGGCTTGGTGTCGCTAGCACCGCGCTCAGCCAGTGAGCGCACCGGCCATCCCTATATAGGATCCGAACCCGCGGGCCTCAGCGCTTCCATCGCCGCACTCTCCCGAGTGAGCCACGGGGTCGGCTGGAACCTGTTGAACTTTTAAGACTGAATACGAAGTCACTGTTTAATAACCAGTGCTTTCTTATTGTTCTGTTGGTTTTTTATTTAAACCTTGTTTTTATAGGTACTTGCTCTGTTCCAGCTAAAATTACATTTAATTTTTTTTTTCCTTTTTGTCTTTTTTCGTGACTGGTAACGGGATCGCAACCCTCAGTGTCGTGCCCGTACCACGACCAGCAACAGGATCGCAACCCTCGGTGTCGCACCCGCACCGCGCTCAACCAGTGAGCGGACCGGTCTCTATATGGGATCTGAACCCTCGGCGGGAGCGCCGCCACACTCCCAAGCGCCACACTCTACCGAGTGCGCCACCGGGCTGGCCCTACATTTAATTTTTGAGGTCCATTAATTCACTATAAGACAGGAAATATTCAGTTTGACCGGTCTCTATATGGGATCCGAACCCTCGGCGGGAGCGCCGCCACACTCCCAAGCGCCACACTCTACCGAGTGCGCCACCGGGCTGGCCCTACATTTAATTTTTGAGGTCCATTAATTCACTATAAGACAGGAAATATTCAGTTTTAAATCTGTACTTGATATTGGCATATTTCAGATTGTCCTCTAGACAACTGTCGTGAAACCCTAGTTGATTTAAAAGTTCAAGGAATGAGATAGGTTATGTCACTAACTTGGCTTTCTCAGTTTTATTTTATTTTATTTTATTTTTATTTATTTATTTTTTTTGTCTTTCGTCTTTTTTCCGTGTCCGGCAACGGATCGCCACCCTCAGTGTTGCCCCCGCACCGGACCGGGGACCGGCAACGGGATCGCAACCCTCGGTGTTGCTCCCACGCCTCGCTCAGCCAGTGAGCGGGAACCGGTCTGTATGTGGGATCCGAACCCTCGGGCGGGAGCGCCGCCGCGCTTCCCAAGCAGCGCACTATCCAGTGCGCCACCGGGCCGGCCCCCTCAGTTTTATTTTTAATGGAGGGTTGTTCCTTACCCATCTCGCACCATCTCATCCCCTACTGCACCATCGGAATAAGGAAAAGCTAAGATTTATAGGACTTTTGTACATAATGGAAATTTGAGCCTGTAAGAAGCAAATAAATTGGCTACCTGTTTTGGGTGAACTCAGTGGCACTTTTTTTTTAGCTAAGATTTATAGGACTTTTGTACATAATGGAAATTTGAGCCTGTAAGAAGCAAATAAATTAGCTACCTGTTTGGGGTGAACTCAGTGGCACTTTTTTTTTAAAAGTGTTTCAGAATTCCCTTGAGAGTGTATTTCCTCATTATATGTTAAGATTTGGTTTGTTAAGAAAATGAAAAAAAGTATTAATGGGAAAAAAATAGAGGACGCCAATTGGTGTTAAAGGTGAGCTTAGAATCTTAGATGTTTAAATTGGGAGAAACTGCCTCCTGTATATGGCTTTAAGGGTACCTTTTTATCCCCTTCAGGTTCTACTTAATTTTAATCTGTTTTCCTAGTTAAAAATAAGAGGAAGGTTGGAGATACCTCCCCAACCACTTCACGCTCACATAATTGATATGTAGCTGGTTAATACTCTGGGATAGAATCCTACTTGGGATGTTTCTGATAAGATGACATTCCAGGTTTATGACCCTAGGCTTATAATTAATAATTATTATAGAGAATTATTTTTCAATGGGGTGAAATCACCTGGGTTAAAATCTAGGTTCTGCCACTTATCTGGTATATAATCCTTTGTATGCAAATTACCTTCTTCAGACACTGCCAGTACCATATCTGTGTAAGGGGGATGATACCAATCCTGTGTAGTAGTTATGAGAATTAAATGTGTTTAATTAACACATTTGAAGTGTTTTAATTAACACTTATTAAGTGTTTAGCATAATGCCTGCCACTAGTCAATACTCAGTAAATGCTAGCTATAGAAAATGACTTGAGAAATTTTAAGGTTAGCATTATTGACTATTTCAATAGCCATCTACTTAAACATAACAGGTAGATGGTCTCAATTCATGAAACTTAGACCTTTAAAATAACGCCAGTTACTTGGAGACTTTGGTGAAGTGCTAATTCATTTATTCAGCAAATATGTTTAGAATATACTACATGCCAGAACCTGTGTCAAGCACAGATACAGAACTGAATGTAGTACATAAGAACTTAAACTTCATGGAGTTTGGGAAGGAGTGTTATAAACAGACAACTAAATAACTACAGTTCATGATAAATAGAAAATACTGTGAGAGAAACATGGTGGCTTTTCTTTTCTGAGAAAGGTGACATTAAGCTGAGACAAGGATGAGAAAGGCACTGAATTTGATATGAATGCTATAGCTAGTTTAATTAGTGGCTAGGCGATACAACCTCCTGCTGAACACCACTTATATGAGTCACAAATGTGACTTGACCATTGAGGACTATAGTCTCTAAAGTTTTTTGTTTTGATTTGAATGAATACTTCTAATAGAGTATGAAGAAGTAGTCTTCTGTGATTCATTTTCTGAAAAATTTTACAAGTTTGTATGATTTTTAATTTTATGTTTTTGTCTATTTTGATGTGGTCAAATAACAATCTTTAGAAATAATTGAAAAAGTGTGGATCCAAGTGCAGTGGTATTTACAACTGATTGATTACAGCCAGTTACAGATTTCTTTGTTCCTTCACACCCACTGCTTCACTTGACTAGCCTTTAAAAAAAAAAAAGATTTTTTTTAAAAAATTAGAATGTCACACTTGGCTCCCCCCGTGGTAATGGGGAGAGAGAGAAGATCTCGGGACCTCAGATTGGCCTCACAGTGGCTTTTCTTTCCTTGAGGGGTGCAACAAGCCTGGTTGGGGTAGGTAAGGGGGGGCAGGTAGAAAAAGAAAAAAAATTACAATGCCATACACTCAGTAGACTAGATTTAACAAATATTCACATTCACTTTTTCTGGCTTTCTGTGGCCTACTTTTTGTCTACTTAACCATTTGACCATATGCAATTTATTTGATATTTGAAATAAATTTGTAAATCAAATTTTATCTTTCCCAGATAGCAAACCAATTGTCTTAACACCTTTTTTTTTGTCTTTTTTCATGTCCGGCAACGGATCGCAACCCTCAGTGTCGCGCCCGTACCGGACCGGGACCGGCAACGGGATCGCAACCCTCGGTGTTGCTCCCACACCTCGCTCAGCCAGTGAGCGGGAACCGGTCTGCATGCGGGATCCGAACCCTCGGCGGGAGCGCCGCCGCGCTCCCAAGCGGCGCACTGTAGCAGTGCGCCACCGGGCCGGCCCTTAACACCTTTTAATGAATAATCCGTTTCCTTTTTGTTGACTTTTTTTTTCTACATCCCAATCCTTTTTTTAAATAACTAATGTGTTTGTATGGGCTTCTGTTAATAATAAGCCAGTTAGTTGATTTTATGGACTTAAATATGTTTTAATATATAGTAAATCCAGTTCTTTCTCATTTTTTCCTATTAATTTTCTTAGCTTATTTTCATTTATCATGTATTTGTTATTCTAGATAAACTTTGGACACATTTTGTCATGTTCCAAAAACACATCTTAGTTTTGGTTGGAATTATATAAACCTATACATTAACTGATATTTTCATAATTTCTGCATAGAACTAATATTACTTAAAGGGATACTTACTGAGCTTCCAGTGATCCTTTCGGCATAAAATTATTGCTTCATATTAAAAATAATGCATCATCTAAACTTCTTTACCTGCCAGACTAATATTGGTTAATATTTTGTTGATATTGTTAATAGTGAAGTCACTCAGGATTGTTTATTTATCGATTTATTTTTTCTTTAATTTTTTTTTTTTTTTTTTTTTCTTTTAAAGAAGATGATGGTAAGGGGATCTCTACCCTTGGCTTGGTGTTGTCAGCACCATGCTCAGCCAGTGAGACAACCGGCCATCCCTATATAGGATCCAAACCCATGGCCTTGGTGTTATCAGCACTGCACTCTCCCGAGTGAGCCATGGGCCGGCCCTAGGATTGTTTTTTTTAAAGCCTGTGCTCCAAATATATCTTCAACTTCAAAATTATTCTATTTTCCAGCTTTTCTATAATGAGTATGTATTATATCTGCATTTAATTTTTATAACTCATAGTTTTTAAATAAAAGCAAAATTGTTCTTTTTTCTCATATATGAAATTCTTTTTGTTACATACTAACATCTGTAGTAAATCATTGATGTGTGATAATATTAGGAAGTATTTAATACTGTCTTTAGTTTAGGAAATATTTAGGTTGTATTTTATATTAGTATAAAATTGATGAATACCATACTCTGGGCTTGAGAATTTTAGCCCAAAGCAATATTAATGTTGTTTTGCTTACTTTCTTAATTCACAGTGATGCGGTTGACTAAGCCTACTTTATTCACCAATATTCCAGTAACATGTGAAGAAAAAGACTTACCTGGTATGTGTGGCACATGCTTGACTCTATTTACACCTAGGGAAAAGTTGAAACCTTAGGAATTGGAATTACATTACCTTGGAATAAGCCTAGCTTGCCAATTTTACACTAACTCTTTTATGTGTTCTTTGTTGCTTATTTTTGTACTGTGTGAATGGTGACCACCTGAGTAACAGGTTTTACTTATAATCTACAAGTCAAGATACTGTTGATATCCTGTGGCAATAAGAGACTTTTATTTTAAGTAATGATGCATATATTCATAACATTGTTAAAAGCATCTTTATCTTTAAATGTTCCATCAATGTATGTATTACCATTCCTTTTATTTAGAGTTATATTAGGGCTTTCTATAATAAATGTTATATCTAATGACCTACATTTTTTTCTTCCTAAAGTGTTCATTCTCTGTGAGATCAGAATTTTTTTGACATGCCTTTTTGGTATTAAAGATTAGAAATCAGATTTTTTTAAATGTAATTTTTGTCGAGATTATTTTTTAAAATATCCCTCCCAGCAGTTTTTTATGTAAGTAAAACTTATTTAAAAGGTAGATGTTTGAATTTTATGTTTTTCTCTTGCTGCAGGAGATCTCTTTAACCAATTGATGAGAGATGATCCCTCAACTGTAAATGGTGCAGAAATTTTAATGTTAGGAGAAATGTTGACTTTGCCACAAAATTTTGGGTAAGAATGATATATTCACATAAGAAATGCAGCAATCCCTGAAAACCATTACAAATCGTGTTTTCAAAAAATAATTATGGAATGGGAAAATTTCTTGATACATTTAAGTAGTAAAAAAGTTTTTAAAATTATACTGTGTGATTCTGGTTTTATTTAAATGAAAAGATATGTACCAAAATAAAATGTTAACAGTGGTTCCTAGGATGATATAATTTTAACTTTCTTCTTTAGATGTTATTTTATATATATATATTTTTTTCTTTCTTTTTTTTTTTTTTTTAAAGATGACTGGTAAGGGGATCTTACCCCTTGGCTTGGTGTTGTCAGTGTGATTCTGGTTTTATTTAAATGAAAAGATATGTACCAAAATAAAATGTTAACAGTGGTTCCTAGGATGATATAATTTTAACTTTCTTCTTTAGATGTTATTTTATATATATATATTTTTTTCTTTCTTTTTTTTTTTTTTTTAAAGATGACTGGTAAGGGGATCTTACCCCTTGGCTTGGTGTTGTCAGTGCCACACTCAGCCAGTGAGCTAACCGGCCATCCCTATATAGGATCCAAACCCGTGGCCTTGGTGTTATCAGCACTGCATTCTCCCTAGTGAGCCACAGGCCGGCCCTAGATCTTATTATATTTTTTAATGGTCATGTATTCCTTTCATTTTTACTAATTTAAATGTCTTATTCAGAGGCAGGTCTCTTTTTCAGGCTGATAGCCCTCTCCCAACATGTTATCAGACTTAGGAACTCTAAATTTGTTATTTCTTCACTTGTTCTTAGCTATTCTTGTATTCTAGATTATTAATGAGTTAGAAGGCCCAGCTTCCACCCTGATTGCACCTGAGAGAATTTGAGAAAAAAATGAATTTTTCAGTAGTCATTGACTAGTCATTGACTAGTCATTGACTAGTTTCTTGAAACTTGGAAATAAATTCATGTAAAAAGAATAAAACTATATAAAGTAAACCCATTGGTCATTTTTATTAGAATAACTTAGAAAAATGAAATATATGGTAAAAATACTCCAAAATCCATAACTTGTATCTCTTTTAAATTCAGGGCATAAGTTATTTCAAAAATGGAAACTTTGTTTTTTCTAGCCTATCCAAATACAAATCTTAAGACTCTTAGCATAGATCTAATTTCAGTGACTGTTGTTTCTAGGGAGATGTGCAGTAGTCGAGGACCAAGATACATCATGTTTTATAGATTACATCCATATTTGAATTTCACTAGGTAATGAATGAGCAGCCTAGTGTAAACAAAGGAATGTTGAAGTAGTATTTCACCTGATCTCTATCCTTTAGTAAATTTTTCTCCATTTGAAGTTCTTAGTGATATTCAAACAGAATATTAATTATAAAACCTGAATGGATTTCTGCCTAAAATTTATTCTATTTCACAGGAACATATTTTTGGGAGAGACCTTTTCCAGTTATATCAGTGTTCATAATGATAGCAATCAAGTTGTAAAAGATATATTGGTTAAAGTAAGTAACATTCTTGTTTGGGATATATTCTATTTCTTTAATCATATTTCTGTTATGTTTTTGAAACTTTATTAAAATGCATGTCTGATACTGGAATTTTTAATTATCATTAACAAGCATTAATAAGCTCCTAAAGGTATAAAATATTATGATAGGCATAGAAACATTGTTCCTTATCCTCAGGTTTGATGGCTTGGGTTAGAAAATGTACTAGTCAAAGGTAAATAACAGTTTAAGTTTTTGTTAGTATGTGATTAACATAATAAGCATTGAAAGAGGAAAGATCACAGGGGATTGTTATCAATCAGGAAGGTTTACTTGGAGGAGAAGGAATACAAGAGGATCTTGAAAGAATGGTACAATACAGAGAAAAAAGCAAGAGGGACATAGTAATCAGAGGCAGAGACGGATACACAATGGGTTTTCTTTTTAGATTTTTCTTTAAAACTTTTTGGTTATACATATTTATGGGGTACAGAGTTGATTATCAGTATTTGTGTACATTATGTGATGATCAAATCAATATTGTTAACATGTTCATCATTACAAATCATAATTACTTTTTGTGTGCCTTACCCAATTACTATCTATCTCCCTCCCCTTCCTCCTTTCCCACCTCGAGTAACTATAGGTCTGTTCTTTCCTTCTGAAAGTTCAACATTTTATTTACATAACTGTGTTCTTATAGCAGTGAACAGAATTCACTTGATGAGAGTAGGTAAGATGGTAGAGATGTGTAGCAGCCATACAGTGGGGCCTCTTGAAAGCCAGGCTAAGGTTTTAGCTTTTTAAAAATTATTTTTAAAACAGTTGGCAGTCAGTGGAGACTTTTTGAGCATTGGTATTCACACTTTGTGTTAGGAAGACTGAAATGAACACATTGTATGGGGATGATTTGTAGAAAATGGACCAGTAAGAAGACTCTTCAAGTAGTTTAGAAATCAAGATAGAATATGCTAACTCAATTAACAACATGAAATTTATTGAAAAAGGAAAGGGCTTAAAAGAATTCACTGTAGGTGGGGGAGAAGTTGTTGTCAAAGATATCTTCAAGTGGTGAGTTTAGTCATTGGAGCATTGCCAAAAGGAGAGGCTAATTAGAATAAATTTGAAGATGACCATAGAGCTTTAGAATTGAAAAGGACCTCAGAGAGCAGAGATTCCAAATTTCAACTTGCAGAAACCAGATGCACACCTGTGCATACATGTACATACATTTGTCATATATAGATAGGGTCTCTGCCTTCATTAGATTAGGAGTTAGCAAACCACAGCCTGCAATCCAAATTTGGTCCATTGCCTGTTTTTCTAAGGCTTTCAAACTAAGAATAGTTTTTACATTTTCAAATGATTTGAAAAGAAACAAAACAGTATTTCGTGACATGTGAAAACTATATGAAATTCAAATTTCAATGTCCATAAATAAAGTTTTATTGACACTCAGCCACACTCATTTGCTTATGTATTTTGTGTGGCTGATTTCCAGCTAAAATGGCAGGGTTATGTAGTTGCAACATAGACTTGTATGCCCTATGAAACCTGAAATATTTGTTATATGACCTTTTTTTTTTTTTTAAAGATGACCGGTAAGGGGATCTTAACCCTTGACCTGGTGTTGTCAGCACCACACTCACCCAATGAGCTAACCGGTCATCCCTATATGGGATCCGAACCCAGGGCCTTGGTGTTATCAGCACCGCACTCTCCCAAGTGAGCCACGGGCCGGCCCGTTATATGACCTTTTAAAGAAAAAGTTTGCAGATCTCTACATTCAATTATGAAAAGATCTGACTTCCAGATTTTTGAAAGCTTACCTTTTTTTTTTTTTTTTTTTTTT